CCCCCCCCCCCCACCGCCCCCCCCCCCCCCCACCCACCCCCCCCCCCCCCCCCCCCCCCCCCCCCACCCACACCCACACAGCCACACCCACACCCACACCCTTATCTTTGAAAACTTAACATTTACAATATATATTTATCATTTTATGAATCTATCAAACAAGAGTACTCTAATATCTTCAGAAAAATCTTTTGACAAATTATCCGATTTGAGAACCGTTCCAATGGCACAAATTAATAGAAATACTCAGTTAATGGCAAGATATGATCTCGGGTGTGAGAGCGCGTGAATCAATCTTCTCTCCATCCACATCTGCACCCTCCACATCATTTTCAATGACTATTATAGTCGTGATATGATTGCGAGATTCGATCGACCTTACTTGATTGACCTCGATAATCCCTATAACAACTTGTTGAATGCAGTACTGAAAAGATTTCTATCGACGATCGTTCTGTATCTGAAAATAATATTGAATCGATTGGACAAATATGAAAAGAACTTCTTGGAAGAATTCGAAAAGCTCTTTTATCTTCTACTAGATCTTCAAAATTTCATCAATTGTACTATTATCAATATTATCTGCATCATAATCAGTAGTCACCAGAACTATTAATAAAAATTAATGAAATTAATTCAAGGTGAAGAAACATTCGAAAATCGTACGATAGAAGAAATGAAAGAGCGAATGATGTGTTTTACAATCCATCACTACTTCCATTCGAAATTAATCAGAGGAAAAAGTGATGAATAGATTGATCAAAGTCATTGAACGATTGATCGATCCTTTATTGTATCATCAGAGAAACATGAATGGCGTAGAACGATGAACAACCATGAAGATTATAATGTGTGACTTTTATTTTACCTTTGAAAACTCAAAACCAAGACAATGTCGATATTTCAATGTCGAAATCTAAATCACTTCTCACATTTTGAATGTGGGATTCTATCAAATAATAGATCATCAATTAATAGATTCTATTATTTAAAATGTCGACGACTGATGAGATAGTCATAACATGAGCATATGAACTTAATTAGAACTTGAGAGATATATTTTATTTATGAAAATGAGAAGAGAAGCTTCCATTTTGTTGCAAAAAGAAGATAGAACAAAACATTTTGTATTAGTGAAAATCATTTGAATCATGAAGTATATAAGGTACAGTTTGGCAGGTACGTATTAAATTGCGTC